TGATCAAATGTTCTATGATCGACAAAACCTGCAAAACCTGGAGGAGTGCATGTTTGGGTAAAATCCATATTAGGAAATATGAAATTGGGTTCTATTTTTGTTATTTTCATTGTCGTCATTCATGTTGCTCTTCTTAGTATGTACATGCATCTTCAAAAAATAAATGTTTCCCACACAAATTTCATATCGATATAAAAAAAAGAAATACTCTTCCAAATCTTCACTGCACTGTCATCATTCGCGTTGTTATTTTGGTATTCTCATTGTCGTTATTCTTAGTATTTTCATTGCCGTCATTCGTGTTATCCGCGTTGTCGTTCTTTAGCTTCTATGAATATAGTATGTTTTGTCATATGCTTAGTATAAACAATAAATGTTCAGGCACAAATTTTCTTATAAAAAGGAAAAGAAATACTCTTCCAAATCTTCATTCGAAGTAACAAGCAACCCGAATAAAAACATAAAAACATAAAATGACTACTACATTCAAACAACTTTTCGTGGTCGCTTTGATTCTAACACTCTTCGCTTCATCGGACGCATTGCCAGGTTATGCTTATCCAAGTTGGCCTAGTGGTAATAACCAAATTGCAAACAGCTGCAATCAATTCGCCGCTAGTGGCGCCACCGGAGGTCCTGGCTTTATTAACACTGGCAATTCCCTCAGCGGATGGGGCGTTGGTGGAAACGCTGTCAGCTCTGCTAACAACAACTGTTGTTTTATCAATGGGGCGTGGCAACAATGCAATCAACAATCCATAGTCTAAAGCTGTGAACTTTCTATATATGTATATTGTGAAATGGAATTTTGATAATAAATTTCATTATTGGTTATAATTGTTATGTGAAATGAATAACTTGATTGGTTTGAAAATAAAATTGATTTTTTTTTATCATGCTAAAGTGAGTAAAATTACACTGATGCCAAAAACTCTGCATTATATCAAACGAACTTATGTTATTGGTTATATGAAAATGTAAATTCTCCATAAGAGCGCTATTGTGAATAAATATCAAGTACTATATATACGGCTCTCAAAACTATGGAATCACGAAAAGTTTTATGACAAAAAAATTCTAGTGTCTTTAGCATATATCTAATACTTATGGTTTTAAAGCTAATAACCTAGAAAATTTCTAAAAAATATTACTATTGCTATTTTAGGAAAATTAAGTGATTACACAGAATTTTTAATATTTTTTTTCCCAAGGCAAATTCCATTAATAAAAATGTTCTCTTCTATAAAAACCACATACATACAAATTTTCAGCTAAATTGGCACGTTGTTGATTGAGATATGAGTCCCCGAATGTTGTAGTAAATTAATTCAACTATTTTTTTTTTTAATATTGAAAGTTGGAGACTCATCTCAATCAATCACTAACGCTTTTTTATAGAGCATTTTTTATTAATGGAATTTACCTCGGGAAAAAAAATTCAGCGTTAACGTTAAAAAATTCTCTAGCTTTAAAATGAATATAACGACCATAAGTATTGGAAGACACTAGAATTTTTTTATAGAACTTTTCGTGGTTCCATAATTTTGAGAGCCACTGTAATTTTGCTCCAATTTAATTCTTCATAGCGATAGAATTTAATCACGTAAACGAAGTCAGCCTAAAGATGGTTATTTTAATAACGTTTGGGATCGATTATTCTCTTTTAAATCTTAATTTATTTCTTGTGTTATTTCCCGTTCATTAACTCATTTATATAGCTATATATCACATAAACTTTGCTTCAGTATACAGTGCTCGTCAGAAGTAACGGACCCCCCCCCCAATAACTTTCCTTAGATCATGTGTAATTTTCCGAGCATAAAGAACATTACAAATGCTGATCATGATACCTATTATAGATTGGCAGAGCTTCTATATCGGGTATTGTATGTTCATAAACTTTCATGCTCCAAATACAATAATCGATCACTTTAGAACATAATATCTCGACGTCCAGAGATCTGATGAAAATCTGATTAAAATGAAAAAAATGGAGAAAATAAAAAATATGTCCAGTAACATTGGGACGTGATATCTCATGATCCACCGATCCAATCCGGACAAAAATATCACCATTCGATTCGTCAAGACTAGTTGAATCGAATAGTAGTATGTTTGTTCAGATTGGAACAGTGAATCACGAGATATCACGTTCCAAAGTTATCAGATTTTTAATCAGATTTTTATCTGATTTTAATCCAGAAATTTGTTAACAAAACCTGTGATTTTCTGGAACTAAAAAACTGGATCTTTTTCTGATTATTTTCTTTTTTTTTATAGGGAATATTTGATCACCAGTGATCTAATTCAAAAAATAATATACAGTCAAATCCCTCTATAGTCATATCTTTATATAGTCATCCTATTTTGCTTTCCCATTTATATATAAACATAGTAAAAAAAATTCCTCTATAGTCACATTCTCTCTATAGTTACCAAATTTTGCTTTTCCAAGAGTGGTGACTATAGAGAGATTTGACTGTATATCATTTGATTTGTCTAGTCAAAATAAATCAAATGGTTATATATTTGTTTGAATCAGATTACTGGTAATTGAGATATTATATCTTATATCAATCAATTCATTTTTGTTAATGTTAAAAAACAAATCTTTTACTTTAGAATACAGTATTTTGATATCTAGTAATCTGATTTGAAAAAAATATTATCATTTAATTTGTCAAGAGTTAGATTAAGATATGTGTTATGAAATAATTGATTTAACATATATTTGAAATGTAAAAGTTTATAAACAATATCTATAAAAGATATTATAATTAGTATTTGTAATATTTTTCATACTCAGAAAATTATACATGATCTATGAAAAGTTATGAAGAGTTTATTACTTTTGATAAGTGCTGCAAATTTCAAATTAAGAAGTTTTCTATCTGAAATACTTGTTGCTTGAATAAAAATATATAATTATATACAATGAGAAATTCTAAACATTTTTAATTAGAGTATTCAAACATAAGAAAATTTAATTTATTTTTTGTTAAAAATATTCAAAATTGTTTAAAGATATGTTCAAAACAATTCTGTGATAATATTGTTTCTCTGTACATGTGCACTTTTTAATTCTATGCCAGATTTGTTAATTATAGATCAATAATTAATAATAATGTACAGTTTTGTGATTAGTATTCAATAAAATACAGAAATTTTTGATCAGATAAACAAAATTAACATAAAATACAAAAATTATGAGAAACAAATACCTAAATTTAGTTTGAAGTACTAATTAAAAATATTAAAAAGACAATTTTATATATAATTTGTATCTCAATTCTAATTCTAATCCTAAAACCAATCTTTTAATATTAATATTAATAATATTATAGTAAAATTTTCCAAGATCAACTAAATTTGACACAAATATATACAATAATTTGCATAAATAATGCATAATAATTTATAATTATACTTGTAACTAATGATGTTTAGCTATAACAATTTTCATATACTCTAATAATTTCTTGTGTTATATTTATCATTTCTTGTGTTATATTTATTATTTTTCATATAATATTGCTATGATTACTTTAAATGAAGTGTTTCTTCATTATTAGTAAAAGAATTATAATTATATAAGTTAGGAGAGTGAGATAAACTAATAAAATTGGTCAATACAAAAATAAGTATCTAAACCTGTGCCAATTTCAATAGAAATTGTTAAATAATTCTATCAAAGATGAAAAGAGGGGTTGGAAGAGTGTTCAAAGAGATAATTAACTAATAAGAATTACTAACTAAAGAAAAGAGTATTGATTTTTTTATACTTGTAGTTATATATTCTAGTGCTTTCAATATCAAAAAAAATGAATAACTAAAGAAAATATCACTTATTTAAAATTATAATACACAATTATACAAATCAATATCACTTATTTAAAGTTGTAATATAAAACTATACAAATTAATATCACTTATTTAAAGTTATAGTATACAACTATATCAAAAATAATGTTATAGCAAATCAATATACTTATCCAAAAATACTTTAACTGTCTTTTTCAAATTTAAAGACAAAAGTAGCAATTAAAATTTCAATTCTACACAAATCAATATTCAATTTCTTGATTTTACTCAAGATTTATGAAAGTGACTTGAATTACAAGATTTAAAATTCAATCAACAAATTATTTTTGCCAGGCAACTTGTTTTGATAAAAGAAGATACAAAAATAAATATTAATTTTATTATAATAAGATAATTGTTAACTTATTGTATCAAGATTAAAATTTATTAGTTTATTTAAGCATTGAAATATGAGAGAGCACTCCTATATATACAAAATTTCTCAATACATTTTAGTTCTATTTACATTATAAAATTATAAAAAAAATATATAAAAGATAGAAAAGATAAATAAAAAAAGGTAAAAAAGATAAAAAGTAAAAGTAGTAAAGATAGAAAAGATAAATAATAAAGGTAGAAAAGATAGAAAAGATAAATAACAAAGATAGAAAATTTAGAAAAGATAAATAATAAAGGTAAAAAAAGCAAAAAAGATGAATAACAAAGATTAAAAAGGTAGAAAAAATAGTTAATAGAAATATAAAAGATAGAAAAGGTAAATAAATAAGATAGAAAAGATAAATTATAAAGATATAAAAGATAGAAAAGATAGATAATAAAAGTAGAAAGAGTAGAAAAGATAGAAAGTAAAAATAGAAAAGATAGATAATAAAAATAGAAAGAGTAGAAAAGGTAGAAAGTAAAAGTAAAAAAGGTAGATAATAATAATAATTATATAATTACTAAATAATTAATATGTATAGACTATTTTTATCGATTTGTTGTTTTGTTACTATTTTTGAAGATTTTTATATTTTTTACTATTTTTGAAAAATTCGTTAATTATAGAATTTTTGAAAATAAATATAACAGTAAATGTAACAGATTACTGTAATATATCTGACTAAATAATTAGATTACTATAATATAAGAAATAAATTAATAAACTAAATCATTTAATAAAATTAGGTATTTGAAACTCTAAATCTTTTTCTGATATTTTACCAGATATAAAAAATTCAATATGATTAATAGATATATTAATCATTTTAGATTTTTATCTAATGTTTGACTGATATATATCAATTATATAAATTATATCAAATTTTTGCTATCAGAATTTTAGCAGAGATGAAAAAATCTAACATGATTGATAAATATATTAATTATATCAAAAAGATAACTTCTTTTAAAAATATTATTATTATTTATATTTTATTTCTTCTAAGAATATTTCTAATAAATTAGCTAATTTTGTCAATTGAATTCAAATCTTTGAAGCAGTTTCTGGATCACACACTATTAAAATTATATTTAAAGATATTTTAAACATCTATTTAATTCTATTACTAGAAGAACTTTATAAAAGTATTATTAGACTTGTTAACACTCTCTTATATCAAAACAAGAATATAATTTCTGAACAATTACAACTTATTCAACTTGTAACAAATTATATTTACAATCAAGAATTCAAAGAAGTTTCAAATTCTTCTAACAGAAATCAATGAAAATAATGAAGAATTACTAGATAACCAACAAGAAGAAGCTCAACAAGTTTTTGTTGCAAATTATGACTTTAACTTTGAACTTTATCTTCCAGAATTATTTAAAGAAATAGCAAATATTGCTCAAGTTTTAATAATTATTAATAAACTCATAACAGTATTAATAGTTCAAAATAATAGAGTAACTGAGAAAATTATTGTTATTCCAGTTCTTTTAACAGTATTTATATAGCAGAAGGTCTTTAAT